TTAAAGTTTAGAGCTCTAAAGTTTAGATGAGGAAATCCAAATAGATCGTCAGAAGTCCTGCACGTCAGGAATTGCCTGGCTAGTTTCTTCAGAAGAAGCTAAATCGACCACATAATAGAAAATGACGGTAATTTGAAATGGAATGGAACAATGATCCTCAGTTTTCTGTCTGTGGACAATGGAGATTTAATTAATTTCTAACGTGGGGGGTACAGAGTAACCAGCTTAATGATTTCAATTTTTTTATAACGGCTGCTAATAATAGGTAATCAATAGTCGTCTCATGTCATTTGCCATCTTTGGTACTTGATAATAAGAAATTAAGAATATGAGATCTTGTAGGATCAGCATGGGGTGCGTGCAATATTGTATTAGCAAAAAATAATCTACCGTTGAGCAACAGAATTCCTGTGAAAAAAAATAGAGGACTGCTGGCGCACTTGCAATAAATGAATGAAGAATGCACAGCACAACCCTTTATAACGTGGATTATAGCACCTGGTTTTAAGAACAAAATCAGATATACACCATATGTGAGCTTAAGAAGTCAAATATCACATATAACTATAAATAAGGGTAATACCAATAGACAATGCTCAATATATAACGTACTTAGTATAAAGAATATAACCTTAGATAGCAATAAGCGGAATGACAACTCCGATCTTCGGGTGAAGACTTCAATTCCACAGGAACAACTGATTGGTTGATCACAAGCCTAATTTCTCCAAACTCTAGCAATCTGGTACCCATTCGGGATTTTTATCCAAATATTTGAAAATAAAGCAAGCGTAAGTACATGTCATACTCAATCAAACTCATCATTAACTTTCTCGAGTTCTTCTCCCTATTTTTTCTTTTACTATTACAAATAACATATCCCAAGAAGAGAATTTCCTTCAGCAAAACTCACTTCCTAACTTTGTAAAACATTGAGATGTTTTGAGTCTCCATTAAATCAACTGTAGATGTCCAACATCTCCTTCCTATGCCAACTTATCCTAGGTATGTTGAAAATTAACTCCCAATTGATAATAACCTCGAAATGATAACCAATATGGGAAAATACCCGAGCTCCTTGATCCAACACATCTTTAGCGAAAACACCTGCACTTAATAGTGACATCCCATCCAGAGACATGACCCATACCTCAAGTGAATCACCAGAACGTATGAAGCCTTCGTCTTGCGACTTCTTTCACTTGGCTACCCCCTTAAGAAAAGATAAAGTAGGGGAAACAAGAAGGGTAGCTTGCACCTTCTTTCAGATGAGCTAACTAGTTTCAAGACATTCTGACATCCCGATGATACTCTTGTATATGGGCAAGGACAAGAAATTCTGAAATTCCTCGCGAGCAGAAAACAGCAACGTAGTAAAACAGCTGTAATTATCATTTCATTAATTCAATGAAGTTATAGCTTATACCGTTGGAACGATTATCAAATCCTCCACAACTTCCTTATACAACACTTTTCCAAATTATGTAGATAACTTAGTCTAAAACTGTGCACAAGAGAAACTATTCCTGGTTCCAAACAGCACAGATGCATCATCTTGTGATTTTCAGTACTCCACAACCAAAATAGCTATTAGGGTGATTCTTGCGCTAAGATAAAGATATGGAAGTGTACTATTGTCCAGAATTTTCCATAATTTTAGGTTATCCAAGAATAGAGATATAAGCCGATAAAGACAGGTTGTGCCCAAAATACAGAATAGAGAAAAACAGGAGATAAGCGAAACCTATCTATTTATTGCATTGATCCTTGTACCTTAGGCCTATGAACTAAATGAAATTACAGGAACACCTACAAGATCATTGCAATTATTACAAAGATGCAAAATAATCATAAACATAATGACAAATCAACAAAGCACTAAAGATGCACAACTCAAACATTGACTCAACTTGCGATACTACCGTTTTGTTACATAAAGGGCACAAACTCCTATTCCTTAACTATGGATCTTGGGTAATCTAGCATGACATCTTCATTCGTCACTCTCACCGAATGCTTCTTTCGGGTTGGGTATCACTAACACTTTTTTGTAGCAACCTTGTAATGATCTGTCTCTGGCTACTTCCATGGTGTAATTGTTGATTCTTCTGTGATCAAGATTTAACATAATGTCCTTCCTGCTGGTAATAATAACACTTTCTCTTAGCTGGATCCTTTGTGATGGCATACTCCACAGAATTGTTGCTTAGTGTGTTGTTAGCTTGCTGACTCTGAAGTTTCATCTTTATTTGACTAGACCGCTTTTAGCTTGCTTGATCTTTTGGGGTTGAAACTCTTGATAGATGATTGTCCATCCATCTATGCATACCTCCTGTGGAAAGATTGGAGTAATCTTAGCTTAAGAAACTTCTGACTCTTTAGGGTCTGAGTTTATCTGACTAGGGATTAGAGATTGATGTGGCAACGTAGTAGAACTCGACTGTTGATTGCTTTCTAATTCTGGCTCTGGTGAGACTGCCTTCCTCTTCTTATCCACAGTAGCTTCAAAACTCAGGTTCACCTTGGCTTCCCTCTTATTGGACTTGCTCTGAAGACAGGGGAAACCATAATGCTTGTAGCATTGACATTGATACTGACTTCTGAGCGTATTACTACTAGCACCTTCATTGGACTTCATTTTCTTCCAAGCTTCTGCCACTTGTCTCTTCATTGGTCCCTTTGGTATGTTGGTTTGACCCTACAGCAAGCACTGTTGAGAACTCCCATGTTGAGTCATTCCTTCTAATACTTGTTGCTGCATAGCTAAAAGCTTCTCCTTGTCGAACGCAATCAAGGACAACGTAGCCTGGTCCTCCTGACCTTTGATGTTGGTGGTCTCCTCATTATGACCCATCTATTTAGATGAAGAGAGAGGATTTAGAATAGAGACAAGGTTTTCATAACAGAATAGAGGCCGAAGTGAGCATAACTTTTAGCAATTAGCAAGGTTAGGGGGAAACAAGAAGTAAGCACAGATGAAAGCATACTAGAACGTCTAGTTCTAACTAGGCTTGCGTCCTACAGTCAGCATTGCTCTGATACCACTTTGTAGCACTCGGTTTTAAGAACAAAACCAGATACATACCATATGTGAGATCCAGGAAGTCAAATCTCACATATAACTATAAATAAGGGTAATATCAATAGACAATGCTCAATATATAACGTACTTAGTATAAAGAATATAACCTTAGATAGCAAATAGTGGAATAACAACTCCGATCTTCGGGTGAAGACATCAATTCCATAAGGACAACTGATTGATTGATCACAAGCTTAATTTCTCCAAACTGTAGCAATCTGGTACTCATCTAGAATTTTTATCCAAATAATTGAAAATAAAGCAAGCGTAAGTACATATCATACTCAACAAATATAACAAGGGGTCATGAGGCTCAAAAGGCTGACACTAGTTTAACTGCGATTAGCTTTTAATTATCACAATTTTAGCAATTGAGTAGCAACAAATTTATCACCAGCCCATGTAAACATATGATCAGGTAAACATAAATAATAAATAGCATAAACAGTAATCATTAGTGAGCATCTTTATCATCAGTATCATCAATGTTCATCATCTATTCCCTAAATGCTCCAATGCCGCTTGTGACCGTGAGCACAGCTGATATACTAGTTTTACACTCTGCAGAGGTTGTACACTTTCACTCGTGAGTCATGATTTACCCTTTCGTCCGAGGTAGCTAATCTCTTGATCCACTTCCAATGAAGGTTGGCAGAGTTCACTATTGTAACGCCCCAGCCCAGGAAGACGGCTAAGATCCATTCTACATGTTGAATGGACCACACCTGCTTGATTAACTCTCTTGCGCTTTTTGTCCTCGCTTCATGCAAAAGGTTTGAACCAGAGTTAATTCTCTCCCAAGCTTACGCCATAGCTTATAAGCCAAATAGGACCAAGCGAACAGGCTGTTAGGCTTTTAAGTTGGTTCGGTTTCCCCTTAGGTTCCGATATGGGACTAAAGTCTCGTAGCTATAGTACTCGGCCATTCTGCCCACCCCACCGGACCGGCCCAACATGGCCCATTTAGCGGGGTCTCACATACATCCACTCTTGAGGACTCGACGTCCTTGTTGAGGGCCGAACCAACCTACCCAAACATGATAAATGTCTAGGATCGACTCTCTTGGCCACGTCCATATTCCCAGCTCCCTGGCCCAAGTGCCATGCTCTTGTAGAGCCATGCGCAACCTGTTTGAGCTCCCGAGCCATATGTCCAAATGTTCATGAAACCGCGAGAGTTGGCTCTGATACCATTTGTAACGCCCCAGCCCGGGAAGACGGCTAAGATCCACTCTATATGTTGAATGGACCACACCTGCTAATTAACTCTCTTGCGCTTTCGTCCTCGCTTCGCACAAAAGGTTTGAACCGGAGTTAATTCTTCATGGCACGGCCCAAGAAGTTCAAGGTATCATATGGTAAAGAGGACCTCGAGAGACTATTGTAATAGGGATTATATAGATTTGTGATAGTGTCTTCATCTTTGATAAATACTTTTTCAATGTAACCGTAACTTTTGTAATATAAATCTTGATGGATTTGTGATCTATGTGAATCTAGTCTACATAGCAAATATAGAGTACCACACAAAAATATAAAATAAATTATAAAATAACAAAATGCAAAAAAGAGATCATGGCCAGTTCACCAAACACTGGCAGTGATGATTGACATAGCACTGCCGTCTCAAGTACTGAATCGGTAGTGTTGCCCGACTCAACACTTCCGGATGCAATCCTATCAAGTATAAACTCGGTCATGGTTAAACTAGTTTGACTTGGAAATATCCCAAACTTGCATTCTTTTGTAGACCGAGGGAGTAACATACATCCAAATTTTCTATATACCATGAAAGCTTTACATCTTTTAGATAAGTGCAAAGATGGTCATCACACATTTCACAACATTATTCGCTGTAACAAGAATATCTGAGAGCATATAGTGATCCGTACGTGCCAACGGAATCTAGACACAAGTTCTAGTGTTCCTTGGACTTGGAGTTGGAGAGTAGGTTAGCATAATCACCAGGGCCATAGACCTCAAACAGTTCCGAAAAGAACCCTTTCTTCCTCCAAGGATTGCACCCCATGTCACGGCAGAGCTGGTCGTTGTACCAAGTGTTCATGATCATGATGCTGGACCGGCGGAAGTATCTTCCACAGTATCTCTTCATGTACTTCTCCCATTCGAGCACATCCTTCTGCATTGCCGCGACGTTCAGTAGTCTGAAGCTGCCGTCCAAGAAGCGTGCCAACCACTTGGCGCGAATATCCGATCACGGCGAGCTGACGTATCTTAGGATTTATGCACTGTCTGTTTGTGAAACATGCATGTTTGAAAATTTAGCACGATTCATAAATGATGGCCAAGATCGAGAGTTCAAATTAGGACAAATGGTGAGAAAGATATATATACATATATACCTGTAGAGAGGCACAGTAGTGGATTCTGACCCAATCGCGACGTTCCGGAAGTACTCTGAAGTGAACATGTCCTTGATCTTCTCGTCGCCCTTGAACCCGGTGCCGAAGATCACCACGTCGCTCTTTACCGGCAACGGCTCGCCCTCCACGAGCACGCCTTCCTTGCAGAAGCTGAATGTCTTGTACTTCTTGAGCATGATGCTGCCTTCTTCCAGCCTCTTGTAGTGGTCCTTGGGCGTGACGCAGATGATGGCCGCAGCCAGCGCCTGGAACAGGCTGTGGTCAGGCACCATGCCGTGCTTCTTCATTGGGATGCCAACTTATAGAACACCCACCTCTACACACACAGTTAAATTAAACACACGAATTATTTAATTTATTTCTGAATTCATCACTCCGAAAAGTAGTATATATGTTTATCAGTTATTAATTATTACAGAAGTAGTAATAACTGGATGCATTAGACATTAATGTTTACTAGCAAATATGCCCGTGCGTTGCAACGGGAGAATGATTTATTGTATTGTCAGTGGCACGAGTAGAGACAGTTTTCACACTCATCGAGTTACAGATAAGAAATTGCTGAAATTCTTCTCCAACTAACTTTCCACATTCAATAGCAAGTTGTTTCCTTCTCTCTCCGATTTTTTTCGTCACGTATGTATTTTCTTTGTTGCAGTCGCTTATATCGATTCTGGTCAAACATGACCACCATCGACCTACCGCCAGCTACTGACTCGCTAGATATGGCCGTGCCATTTAGGTTGGGGTGCGGGTTGCAATCACACGTGGTTGGCGCTAGCTTTCCTAGGGCTGCCCCTAGCTGCGCCAGCTAGCCCCTGGCTGCGGCCGGATCTGGCCTCTGGCGACCCTCCAATTACCCGGACCAAGTGAAGCTGCCGCCTTTGGCTCACACTCAACTTAATCATCTTTAAACGTGAGTTGTTCTAACTTGTATAAGCACAGCTCATGAGTCCGGATCATATACACAACCCAATACATCTTGGAATCAGACTCCGTATCGCGCTAGACGTGAGCTGTTCTAATTCGCATGAGCACAGGTTATATAAGTCTGGACGAAAGAAACTACACTATCAGGTAGTTGGGGGAAGCGAACCAAAAAAGGGCTAAAATTTTGGCTCTTTAATTAATAATATGTCAGGTATAGGTAGATCTAGAACACATAAATAATTGGAGACGATGAGAGTAGATATAGATATAGATAAAAATTTCAGCAAATTAATTACATAAAAGCATAGATCTATAGATACATCGAAATCTTTATACTAAAGAATATTATATTATATGTTTACTGTGTAGCCCTAGTCAAAGGGAGTGTAACAAAACTGGTTTGGTATTTTTGTGATTTTTATATGATTTTTAAAATTCTCAACTGGTTCAAAAGAAAAGAAAACAGAAAATAAAGGAAAAGGCCTACCGTGCTGCCGGTATTTTTGTGATTTTTCCGTGATTTTTTATGATTTTAAGAATCCTGAACTGGTTTAAAAAAAAGGCAACAGAAAAGAAAGCAAAAGGGCATATGTGCGGCTGAGCCATGGGCTTCGGCCTAGCCCGCAGCGCAGCCTAAGGCCGAATCCGAGGCCCACCACAGTAGGCCCAAGCAAATAAAAGAAAAAATAAAAGGATTTTTTGCATCAGGAACCCTAAATTTGTTTCTAAAATCGCTTAAGCCCTTCTATTATTTCTTTGTCTCTAGTATCTTTGCATCTGGAACCACGTTATTTCTTTCACATTCCTCCCTCAACCCCTTCTTCTTCTTCCGTACTGAACGCGACTTCGAAAAGAAACGAGGAAAGAAACGACCATACATAAAAAATAGAATCCGAATAGATATCAGAGTTGGACGGAAATTTATTAGTTCTTTCACATTCCTCCCTCAACCCCTTCTTTTTCTTCTTCCGTACTTAACACGACTTCGAAAACAAACGAGGAAAGAAACGACCAGACATAAAAAAAATAAAGTCCGAATAGAGATCAGAGTTGGACGAAAATTTATTAGTGGTTGAAATTTTGCCTCTTTATTATTAGGTATAGAGTATAGATATATGTTTATGTCAGGTAAGGTACTCTGCTGCCACATAATTGGGCCATCGACATGGGCTATCGGCTCGAGCGCTGGACATGTGGGGTGGACTTTGGGCCTGCTCAAGCAAACTGCACAGGGAGGGAAGATAATACGAAGTCGTCGTCTACCTCCATCTAGGACTCAGCTTCCTCGCTGTTCTTGCTATCTCTACCCCTGATTCCTTGCTGTACCTAGTCCAACTCTCTCTAATCCTTCCCAATTTGGAGTTACTCTTGCATAATTGCTATTCAGTAGTGAAGGATCGTAACAGTTTATCAGTTGTTAATTAACGATTACAGAAGTCCCTATGTCCCTAAAAGAACACAGCTATAATATGCGTGTCAGTTAAAGTGCTTCACGTTTAACCAAGTTTTCAGTAAATAGTATTCACATTTATGACTCCAAATCAATTTATTATGAAAATATATTTCGTAATTAATGTAATGATATTTATTTGATATTATAAATATTTATACGTTTTTATCTATAATTAGCTGAACTTGGTATACTAAAATATGATACTGTTCCAGAATTGCATTCTTTTGGGACGAAGGGAGTACTACCAATAACTGAATGCGTTAGACATTAGTTTATATAGTTACCAAGGGAGTCAGGAGAGTGGCCAAGATCGACAGGAGGAGGCCCTCTCCAGGCTTGTGGATGAGGAGTTCAGAGAAACGGTTGAGAGTGAAGTTTTTGCCATTGATGCCCCAGATGGAGTAGTCCGGTACGATCCAGTGCTTTGTCCAGACCACCATTGTACATGGGTGAGCAGTGCCTACAGCACAAACCAACGTTAAGTGGATGTGTACAGAACATTTTTAAATACTGTAACTCTGAAGTTTTAGTTCTAACACTGTTCAAAATGCTATAAGATATATACAAATATCAATTTAGATTGTCAAATAGATAATATTAGACTTCCAGAGGGAGTGATGAAGAGGACAATATATCTGCACCATACCATTTACTTCGGCACATTCAGCGGCAATATCAAGTGCAGATTTCATGTAGCCAACGACAGTCACACGCTTGCCCCTGATCATCTCCTTAGCTTTACTTGTGCCCATTTTGGCATAATCCATGGAGTGGATCACCTGCCCATCAAATACTTCTGGACCTTTACCTGCTGGGAATGTGGGTATGTCGGGCACACCACTGAACATCCCTATGCACAGAACGACAAAGTCTGCTTTGTGTGTCTGCATAAAGGTAAAAACCAAGTTCTGGATTATTATACAACGGTACTCTGTATGTAAACATGCATACTCTATTGTTGTTTGTTTGTAGGCTCAAGTTATTTTTTTAATTCCTAGGTGCATATTTATATTATAGTCTGTTTGGGTTGCCACAAACTACAGCATGGGTTGTATTGAGTCAAATAAAGCACTAGACTAGATTTTACCAGCTAAGCTGAGTTCACGCAATTGCGAGGTCCTATTTGGATCACCTAGAACTAGGTATTAGTCTAACTTCTCTAAAGTTTAGTCCTATTTGTATACATGGCCTAGTAGTTACTACTAGTGATTTGTGGTGGACCTAGAAATTCATAGAAGAGGTGGCTAAAGTTCCTCTTCAAGCTCTAGAGCTTATTCTTTCTATTTTCTATGTCTATATATAAATTAGGAGAGACTAAAGGAGATACTCCATTGTCATGGAAGCAGAAGGAGGGCGGAGGTGGCCCCTTGGGTGGGAGAGCTTCAGCCCCGCCCGCCCCACCGTTGGATCCGCCCATGTTAGTGAACTAGTTGATGTTAGTTAGGGACTAAAAAATAGTCCACCGTACCCATTTAGATGGTTTAGGACTGAACTTTAGTTTTGGTATCAAAAGTGTCCACAACTGTTGAGTTATGTTGAGAAGATATGAATTTTGTTGGGTTACGTACATATATAAATCCAGATCTGTTCAGGTATATATGTCCATATCTCTATCTTTACACCTAAAAAGACTCTAATGTCATCATCTACCCGGTGATACCAAACCTTGATCACCTTCACGTGTCGGAGTCGATATGTATCAAACTGTACTTAGAGCTCACACGTCCGTGTCCTACCCGGTTATAATACGAATACTAGATCCATGTGTCCGTGTCCGCACGCTCCCCTTCTCCCCGCGCCGCGTCCGTACCCCCCTCTTCTTCTCCATGCACGGGCACGTGCCGCCCCCTCCCCGCGCACGCGCACACGCCACCCCCTCCTCCCTGTAGGCCCCGGCACGGCCCCGCCCTCCCCTCCTCCCTCTCTGGCGCCGGGGCGGCCTGCCCTCCCCTCCTCCCTCGCCGGCGTGGCCCGCCCTTCCCTCCCCCCTCGCCGGCGCACCTCCATCCCTCCTCCACCCTCTCGATCAGATCCGGCCCCGCGCGCGGGCGGATCCGGCGACGGTGGTGCACGGAAGGCCGGATCCGGCCCCGGCGTGGCCGCCCCCTCCTCTCCCTCTCTAACCACCGCCGGCGCCACTCCCCCTCATCTCCCTCTTCTTTCTTCCCCGGCGACGGATCTGGGACGGCCGCCCCTCCTCTCTCTTCCCCGATGGTGGATCCGGCGCGGCCGCCCTTCCTCTCCCTCTCTTCACACCGCCGGCGCCCCTCCCCCTCCTCTCTCTTCCCCGGCGGCAGATCCGGCACGGCCGCCCCTTCCTCTCTCTTCCTAGGCGGTGGATCCGGCGCGGCCGCCCCCTCCTCTCCCTCTCTCCCCACGCCGGCGCCCCTCCCCCTCCTCTCTCTTCCCCGGCGGCGGATCCAGCCCGGCCGCCCCCTCCTCTCCCTCTCTTCCCCGAATCCGGCGGCCGCGCTCTCCACTCCCTCTCTTCCCCGGCGCGGCGGGTGGTGGCGTGGTGGTGGTGGGCGGCGGTGGCGTGATGGTGGTGGCCGGTGGTTGCTCGTGGCGGCGGCCATGAAGCCGGGGAGTGGAGGCGAGACGTAGGGGAAGGGCGCTGCCGAGGAGAACGATGGCGGCCGGCGGAGACCGCCGGTGGTGGTTTTTTTTGAAAAAAAATGTTTGTGGTGGCTCTTTTTTATTTTTCTAAAAAAATATTTGCCGAGTGTATTTTGGGCACTCGATGAAGTCTTTGCCAAGTGTCTGACAAAAAACACTCGGCAAAGTCTGTTTGCCGATAAAAATTCACCGAGTGTCGTTTGCCGAGTGTCACACTCGGCAAACCCTTTGCCGAGTGTTTTTTAG